GAGCAGAATAGAGACCTCAGAAATAACACCACGCATCTACAACCATCTGATCTTCGACAAACCTGACAAAAACAAGCAATGGCAAAAGGATTCCCCATTTAATAAATAATGCTGGGAAAACAGGCTAGCCATATGCAGAAAATTGAAACTGGACCCCTTCCTTACACCTTATACAAAAATTAACTCAAAATGAATTAAAGATGTAAATGTAAAACCCAAAACCATAAAAATCCTAGAAGAAAACCAAGGCAATACTATTCAAGATGTAAGTGTGGGCAAAGTCTTCATGACAAAAACGCCAAAAGCAATTGCAAGAAAAGCCAAAATTGACAAATGGGGTCTGATTAAACTAAAGATCTGCACAGCAAAAGAAACTAGCATTAGAGTGAACAGGCAACCTACAGAATGGGAGAAAAATTTTGCAATTCACCCATCTGACAAAGTTTAATATCCAGAATTTACAAGGAACTTAAACCTATTTACAAGAAAAAAAAAAACCCCATCAAAAAGTGGGCAAAGGATATGAACAGACACTTCTCAAAAGAAGACATTTACATGGCCAACAAACATATGGAAAAAAAACTCAACATCACTGATCATCAGAGAAATGCAAATCAAAACCACAATGAGATACTATCTCATGCCAGTCAGAATGGCAATTATTAAGAGATCAGAAAACAACAGATGCTGTTGAGGCCATGGAGAAATAAGAATGCTTTTACACTGTTGGTGGGAATGTGAATTTGTTCAATCATTGTGGAAGACAGTATGGTAATTCCTCAAGGATCTGGAACCAGATATACCATTTGACCCAGCAATCTCATTACTGGGTATATACCCAAAGCAATATAAATTATTCTATTATAAAGACAGATGAGCGTGTGTGTTTATTGCAGCAGTATTTACAATAGCAAAGGCATGGAACCAACCGAAATGCCCATCAATGATAGACTGGATAAAGAAAATGTGGTACATAGAATACTATGCAGCCATGAAAAGTAATGAGATCATGTCCTTTGCAGGTACATGGATGAAGCTGGAAGCCATCATCCTTAGCTAACTAACACAGGAACACAAAACTAAATACCACATGTTCTCACTCATAAGTGGAAGTTGATCATTGAGACCAAATGGACATAGAGAGGGGAACAACACACACCAGGGCCTGTTAGGGGGTGGGGGGGTGAGGAGGGGAACTTAGGGGGGGTCAATAAGTGCAGCAAACCACCATGACACATGTATACTTATGTAACAAACCTGCACATTCTGCACATGTATCCCGCTTTGGGGGGTGGTTTTTAGAAGAAAAATATTGAAATTATATCAAGTATCTCCTCAGACCACAGTGAAATAAAACTAGAAATCAACTCCAAAAGGAACTTTCAAAACCATAGAAATAAATGGAAATTAAATAACCTGCTCCTGAATGATTTATGGGTTAACACTGAAATTAAGATGGAAATTTAAAAATTATTTGAAATGAATGGTAACAGTGACATAAATTAACAAAACCTCTAGGATACAGCAAAAGCACTGCTTTTAAGAGGAAAGTTTATAGCACTAAATGCCTACATCAAAAATTCTGAAAGATCACAAACTGACAACCTAATGTCACGTCTCAAGGAGCTAGAAAAACCCAAAGCTAGCAGATAAAAAGAAAGATGAGAGCAGAACCAAATAAAGTTGACACAAAAAATAAAAAACATCAATGAAACAAAAAGCTGGTTCTTTGAAAAGATAAATAAAATGGATAGAACATTGACTAGAATAACCAAAAAAAGAAGAGAGAAGTTTCATATAAACTCAAACTAGAAATGAAACTGGAGACATTATGACTGACATCAGAGAAATACAAAAGATCATTCAAGACTACTATGAACACCTCTATGCACAAAACTAGAAAGATCTAAAGGAAATGAATAAATTCCTGGAAACATACATCCCTCCTAGATTAAATCAGGAATAAATAGAAACCATGAACAACCAGTAAGAAGCAGTGAGATTGAATCAGTAATTTTTAAAATGCCAGCAACAACAACAAAAAGCCCAGAGCCAGATGCACTCACAGCTGAATTCTACCAGACATTTAAAGAAGAATTGGTGCCAATACTACTGAAACTATTCCAAATGGTTAAGAGGGAATCCCCTAACTCATTCTGTGAAGTCAGTGTCACCCTGATATCAAAACCAGGAAAGGACATGATAAAGAAACAACAGACCAGTATCCCTGATGAACATAGTTGCAAAAATCCTCAACAAAATACTAGCTAACTGAATCCAGCAGCCCATCAAAAATATAATACACCATGATCAAGTGGATTTAATCCCAGGGATTTAGGGATAGTTTAACACATGCAAGTCAATAAATGTGGCACATCACAAAAATAGAATTTAGAACCATAGATCATTTCAATAGATGCAGAAAAAACATTTGATAAAATCCAGCATCCCTTTAGATAAAGATCCTCAACAAACTAGGCATAGAAGGGGCTTACCTCAAAATTGTAAAAGCCATATATGGCAAACCCACAGTCAATGTGATACTAAATGGAAAAAAGCCTAAAGCATTCCCCCTGAGAACTGGAACAAGACAAGGATGCCCACTTTCATCACTTCTATTCAACATAGTACTAGAAGTCCTAACCAGAACAATCAGGCAAGAGAAAGAAAGAAATGACATCCAAATTGGAAAAGAAGTCAAAGTATCGCTGTTCATTAATGATATGATCATATACCTAGAAAACTCTAAAGACTCCTTCAGAAGACTCCTAGATTTGATAAATGAATTTAGTAAAGTCTCAGGTTACTAAATCAAATATACACAAATTAGCACTGCTATACACCAACAGCGACCAAGCTGAAAATCAAATCAAGAACTCAATCCCTTTTACAACAACTTCAACAAAATAAAATAAAATACCTAGGAATATACTTATCCAAAGAGATGAAAGATCTCTACATGGAGAACTTCAAAACACTGCTGAAAGAAATCATAGATGACACAAACATATAGAAACATATCCCATTCTCATGGATTGGAAGAATCATTATGAAAATGATCATACTGCCCAAGGCAATCTACAGATTGAATCCAATTCTTATCAAAATACCAACATCATTTTTCACAGAATTAGAAAAAATAATCTTAAAATTCATATGGAACCAAAAAAGAGCCTGCATAGCCAAAACAATCCTAAGCAAAAAAGAACAAATCAGGATGCATCACATTACCAGATTTAAAATTATACTACAAGGATATAGTTACCAAAACAGCATGATACTGTTATAAAAGTGATACATAGACCAATGAAATAGAATAGAGAACTCAGAAATAAAGCCAAATACAACCAACTGATCTTTGACAAAGCATACGAAAACATAAATTGGGGAAATGACACCCTATTTAATAAATGGTGCTGGGAAAACTGGCTAGCCACATGTAGAAGAATGAAACTGGATCCCTATTTCTCACCTGACACAAAAATCAACTCAAGATGGATCAAAAATTTAAACCTAAGACCTGAAACCAGAAAAATTCTGTAAGAAAACCTAGGAAAAACTTCTGGACATTGACCTAAGCAAAGAATGCATGACTGAGACCCCAAAAGCAAATGCAACAGAAACAAAAATAAATAAATGGGACTTAAACTGAAAAACTTCTTTGTAGGAAAGGAAATAATCATCAGAGTAAACAGACAACATATAGAATGGGAGAAAATATTTGCAAATTATGCATCCAACAAAGAACTAATATCCAGAATCTACAAGAAACTCAAACATTACAGGAAAAAAAAAAACTCATCAAAAAGTGGGCAAATGACATAAATAGACATATTTCAAAAGATGTACGAATGGCCAAAAAACATCCGAAAAAATGCTCAACATCACTAATCATCAGGGAAATGCAGACTAAAACCGCAATGAGATACCACCTTACTCCTGCAAGAATGACCATTATTAAAAAGACAAAAAAAAAAAAAAAAAAAAAAGATGTTGACAAGGATGTGGTGAAAAAGGAATGTTTATACACTGCTGGTGGGAGTGCAAATTAGTACAACCTCTATGGAAACAGTATGGAGATTTCTTAAAGAACTAAAAGTAGAACTACCATTCAATCTAGCAACCCCACTACTAGGTATCAACCCAAAGGAAAATAAATCATTATATCAAGAAGACACCTGCACACATGTTTATTGCTACATAATTCACAATTGTAAAGATGCGGAACCAACCTGAGTGCCCATTGACCAACGAATGTGTAAAGAATATGTAGTATATATACACCATGGTGTACTACTCAGCCATAAAAAAGAATGAAATAATGTCTTTGGCAGCAACTTAAATGGAGCTGGAGGCCATTATGCTGAATGAGGTAATGGAATGGAAAACCAAATACTGTATGTTCTCACTTATAAGTGGGAGCTAAGATATTAGTACTCAAAGGCATACAGAGTGATATAATGGATTATGGAGACTCAGAAGGGGGAGGGAGGAAGAGGAATAAAAAACTATGTATTGGGTACAATGTACACTACTCAGATGAAGAGTGCACTAAAGTCTCAGACTTCACCATTATATAATTCATCCATGTAACCAAAAACCACTTGTACCCCAAAAGCTATTGAAATAAAAACAAACTAAAAAGAAACATACATTTAATATTTTCAAAAATTTAGTGCCTATTAAACATTCATTCAGCAATGGAGTATAAGGTGTGGGCCAGGTATCTGTCCTAGGTCCTGGGAACTCAGCAGTGAGAAAGACAGACACAAATCCCTACACTAGTGGAACTTGCATTCTAACTGATATACCTATAATTACTAAACAAAATGAGGACTTGAAAAAGAGAAATTGAAGTATTGTGAGTCTGGGGGAGAAGAAAGATACACACAAGAGAAGAGAGAATTATGGAGAAATTACAAGATAACTCCTGAAAGGGTAGGGGCTGGGAACATGAGAAGGGAGCTCACTAAACTATTCACAAATCTGTTTGGTCCAATGGCAACCTCACCTGGGCATGGCATCAAAGAGAAGCTCCAAGTGGTGGATAAGGTGACTGGATGGATAGACGACTCAACCTGGAACTCAGAGGTCATGATGAGCATCCAAAAGGCAAGAACTGAATGTGCCCAGAAGTCCAGATCAAAAGGTAAGACTAATGATGAAATCTGCTATTTGAATAGCTCAATGTATGAGGGTCTCCTGGAGCATGTACAGGGTCAGATAGATATGTAAAGTCGGTAGTAGAAGGAGGGAGATGTACAGACAAGAGGGACATGAAGACAGAGCATGGATCTGTTGATGTGACAGTGGTTGTGGGAAGAACTGTTCTCGGGGTGCAGTTCACCTTGGCTTTGCCATGTGGATTTACATGACCACTCCCCAGTGTCTGCTGTTTTCATTTCTATTATTAGAGTCGCCACTACTCTCTTGAGTTTGGGAGACTCCTTTCTGGTTCTGGCCAACCCAGTCTTGGAAGTGGCACCAATCCTCAGAGTGGACACATTTGCAAGATTATTTTTTAATGTTTCATTTCTAGAAGTGAAGTTGCTTGGTCAAGTCTGCATTTTTAAATTAGGACATATTTGTTGTCAAATCGCCTACATTATCTGTTTATACTCCCTTTAACATCATACAGACACCTTTTCCCTCCATTTTCTCCAACACTAGAAATAACAAGATGTGTCTATGATGACTGCCAAAGGTGAAGAGTGATATTTCACTGGTGTTTCCCTTTGAATTTCTTTGCACTAGGCAGGTGATCGAACATGCTGTGGTAGGTTATATTACAGTTCTCCCGTGTTCCAGTGCCCCACCTCCTCAGAAGTCCACAGCCCTGCCCTGTGGACTCAGGAATGCCCATGTGATAACTTAGCCAAAGAAATGTGGACCCAAGTTAGAGAGCCACTTTCAGGCCAAGGCTTTAAAAGCCCCTTTGTCTCCTTTCTGTCTGCCCAAGACCAGGAATGTTCTAGACAGAGGCTGCTCTGTCTGCAGGAGCCATGAGTGTCAGTGATGTAGGGCTGAGCCTCATCTAATTTATGATGAACAAACAGCATGAGAGAGAAGTAAACCTTTGTCATTGTAAACCAGAGCTTGGCAATTTTTTTCCAAAAAGGACCAGAAGATGCACGTACTTGACTCTGCCTCTGTAGTGTGACAGCAGCCAGAGGCAAATACATAGAGAAATGGGTGTGGCTATATTCCAATAAAACTTTATTTACATAAACAGGCAGTAGGCCAATTTGGCCCTTAGACCATAGTTTGCTAACACCTGTAATAAAACACTGAGATCTGGAGGATTGTGAATTACCACAGCATTACCTAGCCTATCTTTACCAATTTACCTGTTTTTTAAATAAATTTGACATTGGAATTTTTTCTTTTGAGGGTCATCTGTTTGAATTTGCCCATTTTTCTATAGGAATGGCCATTTTTTGTTTAATCAGTTAGGGAGATTAACCCTTTGTTATAATTATTGCAGTTTTTCTGATTTTGTTTCTGTCTTTGAACTTAAGAAGCTTTTGGTTGTGGAGCCATCTGCTTAGTTAGCTAGACAAATCAGTTTACCTTTAGCAGTATGGTTTATGCCAGAGTTTCTCAATCTTGGCATTATTGACATTTTGGACTGAATAATTCTTCGCTTCGGAGGCTGTCCTGTGTGTCATCGGATGTTTAGCAACATCTCTGGCCTCTACCCATTAGATGCCAGTAGCACCTGCTTCCCAGTCCTGACAAACAAAATGATTTCCAAACATTGCCAGATATCCCTGAGAGCAAAGTCACCCAGTGTTAACCACTGCTTTATGCCCTTTACTTCCTCCTTAAAAAGCCCTTCCTATGTGATATTTATAAGGCCATACAGTAGCCCCCCTTTATAAGCAGTTTTTTGTTCTATGATTTCAGTTACCTGGAGTCAACTGCAGTTTGAAAATCTTAAATGGAAAGTTCCAGAAATAAACAATTTATAAGTTAAAAATTATGTGCTGTTCTGAGTAGCGTGACGGTCTTGCACCATCCTGCTGTATCCCACTCGGGGATGTGAATCCTCTCTTGATCCAGTGTGTCTTACTGTATACGCAGCGCACCCATCAATCACTTAGTAGCTGTCTTGGTTATGAAGAATCTTGATTGAAGAATCATAGTATCTGCAGGGGTGTCCACTACCCATGGTTTCAGGTATCCACTGGAGGGCTTGAAACATATGGCCTGTGGATAAGGGGGGGACTCCTGTACATCCCTTTATTCTAGTATTTGTAGTAAATGTATTGATATATATTGATTCGTGGAAATTTGGCTTCTGTAGTATTTTTAGTTTTTCTGTCTTTTAACATGAGCTTGCTGTATTTCCTTAGTCAATGCTGCAAGGAAGTCCTTTCATAAGGACTCATATGTAACTTGTCTCTCCAAACTGGTAGAAAAACAGGAAAAAATACTTTAAGATTGTTAACATATGAGTCTTATAAATCTACGTTTGTAGCTATAAGTGATTATTAATTCTGTTTTTAGAAAAGAAAAAGGAAAAAGATATCTGTTCAAGTTCAGAAAGGAAATTTCAGAAAAATATTCACTGAAGAAGTAAGCAAGCAAGCCACAGCGCCTCCCTCTTGGGTTCCCCAGAGCCCTGGCCTCTGCTGCAAGCTCCACCCGCTGTCTCCTTCTCTCTCCCTTCTTCCACCATCCTTGTCCTTCTCCTCCGAAGTTGTTCTCCACCCTCATGGGTACCAGCTGAATTGGGTGCATCAGGAGTGCTGCCAGCCTAACAACCCACCCACTTGTGCACGGTGGCTATTTCCATACTTGGAAGGATTCTTTAACACAGAGCTGTACAAAGACCCAAAAATGATTAAGGATGATCACTAAACCTTTAAGTCAAGTTCTAAAATAAACTTCTATGTCTTCCATTCTAGGAATTAAAGGAAACCCTTATTCAAGCACAGCCTGACAGTGTTCTCGTTCCTTTTCCTGTGTTGGTTGGGACCCTGGGCTTGCTTCAGCCTCTCAGTCCTTCGGGCCTCTTTGCATCTCTGTCCTCTCCCTCCCATTCCTCTTCTTGCATTTATTTGTCTTCTGCTTTTATACCTCACTTCTTCAGCGTCATTTCTTGTCACCCTCTCTTCCTTTTTTAGTCTCCAGCCACTTTGGCCGTTTTTATTCATTATCGAAGTATAGTAGGTGCTACCCAAGGTGAGAACCCCAGACTGGTGTCATCGACAAGCATGTTGGTTGCAGGTCTACGAGAATAAGGAGCTTGTAAACCAACTGTGACGCTAAGCACACTGTTTTCATAGCTAGACTCCTCAGTGGCAACAGCAGTGCATTGATTCTGATCAAGCCCCTGTCCCATCGTATGTTGGAGCATTGAGTAGCACTGGTGGATGTGCTTGCAGAAAATGCATGTATCCTAAGAGTACAGCTTGATGGATTCACACACACACAGAAAAAGCACCCACATACCCAGCATGCAACTCAAGACACAGGATGTCACCAACACCCATAAACTACCCCTACCCATGTCTCTAGGGTCACATCAGCCTGATTCCTCACAGCATAGGTCATCAGATACTGAATGCTGCTACCTCGTTCCTGCTCAGTACCTCCTCATATGGGCCTTCCCACTCACCCCCCCAACCCCAAAGCTAATCCCCTTATCCTCCTCCCTTTCCTTGCTATACACCCTCAGACCTCACCTTTTCTTAAAAAAAAATTATTTTAAGTTCTGGGATACATGTGCAGGATGTGCAGGTTTGTTACATAGGTAAATGTGTGCCATGGTGGTTTGCTGCACCTATCAACCCATCCCATAGGTATTAAGCCCAACATGCATTAGCTATTTATCCTGGTGCTCTCCCTCCTGCTCCCCTGACAGGTCCCAGTGTGTGCTGTTCCCCTCCCTTTGTCCGTGTGTTCTCATTGTTTAACTCCCACTTATAAGTGAGAACATGCGGTGTTTAGTTTTCTGTTCCTGCATTAGTTTGCTGAGGATAATGGCTGCAAGCTCTAATCATGCCCCTGCAAAGAACATGACCTTGTTCCTTTTTATGGCTGCATAATATTCCACGGTGTATATGTACCACATATTCTTTACCCAGTCTATAATTGATGGATATTTAGGTTGAGCCCATGTCTTTGCTATTGTGAATAGTGCTGCAGTGAACATACACATGCATGTATCTTTATAATAGAATGATTTATATTCCTTTGGGTGTATACCCAGTAATGGGATTGCTTGCTGAGTCAAATGGTATTTCTGGTTCTAGGTCTTTGAGGAATTGCTACGAGGTCTTTCACAATGGTTGAACTAATTTACATTATCACCAACAGTATAAAAGTGTTCCTATTTTTTCACAGCTTTGCCAGCATCTGTTGTTTCTTAACTTTTTAATAATCGCCATTCTGACTGGCATGAGATGGTATCTCATTGTGGTTTTGATTTACAGTTCTCTAATGCTCAGTGATGTGGAGCTTTTTTTCATATGTTTATCAGCTGCATAAATGTCTTCTTATGAGAAGTGTCTGTTCATGTCCTTTGCCCACTTTTTAAAGGTGTTGTTTTTTTTCTTGTAAATTTGTTTAAGTTCCTTGTAAATTCTGGATATTAGACCTTTGCCCTCAGACCTCACCTTAAATGTCACTTCCACAGGGAAGCATTCTCTCTCCCAGCAGGTGGGGGTGGGTCTCCCTGACATGCCCTTGTGGAGACCTGCATTTTGTCTTCATGGCACTTATCTTAACTGTGATGAATGATCTGTGCACAGCCTGTTCACTGTGCAAAAGTCACGTGAGGTCAGTAAGCGGATGGGTCTTGCCCGTTGCTGTATGTCCAGCTCCCCATGCCTCACACAGCTGGTACTTCTTCATCAAGTTATGAACACCAGTATCTGGGCCCATCTGATGCATGTGCGTGAGTTAGAAAAAGGTGCCCCTACCTCAATTCACTACCTCATCTGTCACAGCCAATTCTTGAAACCAAACCCTTTTCTGCCATCTTCTGGAAGATTGTTGTACTAAGCAGGTACACTGATTCTGTTTCTAATATGAATCAGAGCACCCCTTAAGGATGGAGTCCTTGCTCAGGGCACAACCCATCAACTTTATGCAGAGGTCCTGATGAACATATAAATGTGTACCTTACATCACAGTTGGCAAAGCACTCTGATCCACATTTTGCCATTTAATTCCCATAATAAGTAAGTGTTATCAGCCCGTTTTACAGATTCAATTAAAGGGTAAAAGACTTGAATGAGCTAAAATCAACCTGTGTGTTCCAATTTCCAGCCCTTTTTCCTTTACAGGAAAAATGTACATGAACCCAGATTCCACCTCGTCTCAAACACTGATGGAGGCAGGAGCCCTGGCAAACGTTGACAGTTGTCCCTCAGCATCAGTTTCTTCTCCCTTCTGCCCTATCCGTAACTTCTCATTAAACACAGAGTATCTGTGCTGCTGTCGCTTGTATGATGTGGAGTCTCGTGGCATTTCTGATGATGTGGAAAGAGTGCTAGATACTGGGTCTGGCCTGTCTCAATTCCAGTGCCAGCTCCACCTCATGTAATGTGGTGACCACTGGCAATTCTCTCTCCACATCTGAGCCCAAGTCCCTCATCTGTAAAATGGGGACAGTCGTTGCCTTCTCATTCTTACACATTGTTGTGAGGATAGACGACACAGTGCATCTGCTGCTCTTACTATATCCTTGACTATCACTTTTCTCCTTACCACCCCATCTCCACCCCCCACCACCCCATCTCCACCCCCCGCCATCCCCTTCCCACACCCCTCGTGTATACATCATAGAGCTCCCAAATCATTCCCCAGGACTGTGGTCTTTCCATGCATAATTTCCACCTTGTGCTTCTTCCCCACGTTCTGTAGGAATTCCCGGAGTTGATCTGGATTATGAATTCGTTTTTTACCATGCCGCTATTCCTCGTCTGGATTCAGCTTTTCTTCTTAATTTTCTCCACCTTGCTTTTCCTTTCCCTGAGCTCTCTCTTCTCTAATTGCTTGCTTTTCACAGCAGGTTCCTCGTTGTTTGCTCACGCTTCCTAATGGGGACCTAAATCCACCGCTGCTACAGCTCACTTTACAAAGGAACCAGCTGATGTTAGAGAGCCCCAAGCATCCCCCACAGGGTTCCTGGGGCTGCAGGGTTTCATCCTTCAAGGCCTGGTTGCTGAGATGAGTAGGTGAGACTGAGCCAAACTCAGCACTATTGGGAACAGGCCAGAAAGCTGCCCTGAGGCATAGGACAGCTGGCTTTGGAAGTCCTTGGGCCTAAAGGCCCCACTTCACTTGATGACTTGCCTCCACTGGGTAAGGAAGGGACTGATGCTTGTCCCCATGACTCTGCACATCCGCTTGCTACCCGTGGCCCCCAAAACCACCCCCTGCTCCCTCATCTGCTTGTGAATGTGTTTGGGACGTTTGTGTTCACTAAAGCTATATTCACCACAGGGAATTAGAGAAGACATTTCTCTGGAGACAGAGAACTGTAGAAGGTCCCCATAGCTGTGCTAATCTCCCTCAAGGTTTGCAACAGTGGTCCAGAGTCACCTGGAGCTCCGCCTTTCACCCACATTAGGAACCTGCGGCAGCAAGTTTCCCACTCAAATCTGATAACAGTAATTCACACTTAGGTAATCCTTCTAGTAAGTGGCAGAGCCAGGATTATAAGCCCCTCCCACCCCCACCCCTGCCCGCACCCTAGTCTGGCTCCCAAGGACACGCTCTCATCTGCTGTGCCATATTTACTGAGTAGAGTCTAGAGACAAATGGTGGAGCTGGCCCCTCCATGCAAGAGGGCTGCTGTTGAAACAAAGTTTTTCCCACCCTAAGTTCCCACACACCCCCTACCTTCCACCCCCATGCCTAGCCTTGCTGCCAGCCTCTGCTCCTGTGAGGCCAGGCATCCTGTAGGGTTCTGTCGGGGGGATTACATCCTCACTTCTCAGTGTCCCTCCTTTCTCAGTCTGACTCTACCTGCCTTGTATCTTTCCTGAGAAATGAATGGCTTCTTCACCACTGATGCTGTTCCTTCCCCTTTCCATCAATGCTCTTGTTTTGCCATTTGTTTTCCTTTAGCTCTTTCAATAACCGTTTGAGGCAAGGGAGAGAGTTGGACCAGATGTTCTCCTAGGCTCATTTTAGGCGTAATATCCTCTGTAACTCAACATAAGACATGGACAGCCCCTTCATTTCTGCCCAGAGAAACAGCCCCTGCTGTCTGTCTTTAATAAATTCACCCATAGTGAGGTTGGAGGGGAAGGCAGCAGGAATTGCTGAGATTTATTTTAAACCCTCTTGCAACTGCTTCTCCTGAATCTAGACTCCAGATTTCTACCCAGGGATTCTGAGTTGCCAGCCCGCTCCGTGAGAAACTGGGAAATTAGTTCAGAGCTCTCCAGGGTTTTCTTTTATTCATCAAGGAAGAAGCAGGGAAGCAATAAAATGAAAAGAAACAGCAAATAATTAAGACTGACACCATCCTCTCAGTGCCAGCCACCTCACTCACCCAAGTCTTCATTTGAATCAGGAAATAAGATTGTAAATGAAGATTTTTTTTCCTCTGGCAACATGAATGCAAAGAAATATTTTAGGTAGGCAACTTCCATCAGCACAGAGAGATCAGCAGGACGCTTATAGAATAGAAGACTATTCGGTGGCAGCCAATTCACTTGCAAATTAAGACACATTCACTGAAGAAGCCCTATATGTTCTACTAAAATGTTTTGTTGGCTGTAGTGTTGGTGGCGGTGGTGGTGGTTTGTTGCAGGCTGCTGTGTACACATAGCTTATTTGCCACTCGAGATGAAAGAGTTCCTGCAAACTAACCAGAGAATGTTCCCCAGTACCCTGTACATTATTGGAATTCATGGAGGGGAGAATTCAAAAGGAAGATGGAATGAAGACTGAATAACATGAAACTGTTCTCTTCTACTTTCAGGAAAACCCAAAAGTGACACTGTGGATTTTCACTGTTCTAAGCTCCCCGTGACCTGTGGTGAGGCGAAAGGGATTTTATATAAGAAGAAAATGAAACACGGTGAGGTCCTTGGTCTTCTGCTCTTTGGAATCCCTAGATGAAGGACTCACTAGAAGGGAGGAAAATACCTGGGTGTATAATTGATCAGGAAATGGACCCTAGGCTGCAGAAGAAGAGACACTTCTTAGGAAGGAATTTCCAAACTCTTCCACATCATGGTATTTTTGGCAACCAGATCACTCCACTCCCACCTGGAAGTCACCCATGGGCCCTGCTGTACTGACAGCCATGTCCTTGCTGCATGTAGGCACCCACATGAATGCAAAATCTGTCCCACCCCCTCACCACTCAGTCAGGCTTTAGGGCTGGCTTCAGTCCAAGAGGGGAGGCCTTCAGACTCCCCTGCTACTGCTTCCACCTCACAGAGGAAGTCTCTCTTGACCTGGAAAGGTAGAAGGCCACAATTAGGATGAAGAGGTTTAGGGTGAATTCACAGAGAAGGGTGGTAGATCCAAGAATGGGCTTTCTTTTTCTTACAGGATCCTCAGTAAAGTGCATTCAGAATGAGGATGGAACTTGGTTCACACTAAAAGAATTTGAAATGGAAGGAAAAGGAAGAAACACAAAGAATTGGAATCGGAGTATACGTTGCGGAGGAACGACCCTAGCAGAGCTGCTGAAAGTATTATAATGACAAGCGACAGATAGGTGACGGGTTTAAATCCTTGAAGGAGAAGTGGGGTTTTAACAGCAGAAATGTGAAGAGCTCCCGTTAGGATTCAAGAGCATGATTTAAAAGGAGTTAAATGTTCACAGAAAAAAAATTGTGGGTGACAAAGTTAGGAGCACAGATTGTTCCTGATGGTGGAGAACTTTAAATGCCAGTAAAGGAGTGCAGGAACTTTAAATGCAGGCAGAGGGCTTTGAGGTCCAGAGAGATGTAAGACGCTCAAAAGAAACTAGCTGAACAGATGCCTGCGATCGCTCCTCTGCGTCCTCTACCTGACACCTATTCAAGGCCAGCTCATCTGGCCCCCTGCAGCATTTCCAGACTGCCCAGTCCATGGTCCATCTCTCTGCTGCGCGTCCACAGCAGGCTATTCCTGTCCTGAGAACTAGTCTCTGTGATCCCAGGACCCAACACAAGGCCCCTCTCAGTAACACTCAAGAAATTATCACTAGGATGAAATCATAAAGATTTTATCTAGAGAGGAAAAATGGAAGAAGAAAGGAATGGATGGGAAAGAGTAAGAAAGAAGAACTTGGGTCATGGGTTTGAGTGACAGGGGAAAAAGTGATTTTATCACTAAGTGAGGTCCAGAAGAAAAACTGACTCGGGGAGGGAGCTAATTTTTCTTTTTGACGCCTTGGGTTTGAGATCCAGTGTGATGTCTGGGTACAGATACTCATAGGAAGTGGGAAGGCCAGTATCTACAGAAGAAAAACCTCCAGAATAACCTCATTCATTGACTCCTTCTGTCTTTCAGAATGGACTTTTGCTCTGTCCTCCAAGAATAAATCTCAAGAGAGAGTTAAATAGCAAGTGAATTTCTACTACCCTCTCAGTCACCATGTTGCAGACTTTCCCTGTCTGGAGGCTCACCTTAGAGCTTCTGAGTTTCCCAGCTCTGAGTCACCTCCACATTTGGGCATGGCATCTTCAAAACAATTTTCGTAGTTAATTTGGGATGGGGAAGCAAATGACTCTAAAATAAAAATTAAATGAAAAAGCTCATCATGTCCATGTGTTTTAGAAAAAAGATCTGGATATTTGGATGGCTATAAACCAAAGGTGTCAGAAATAAAATACTCTAAGCCTAGATAACATAGCAAGATCCCATCTCTAACACATTTTTTTTAATCAGCCAGGAATGGTGGTGTGCACCTGTAGTCCCAGCTACTCAGGAGGCTGAGGTGGGAGGATTGCTTGAGCCCAGGAGTTCAAGGCCAGCCTGAGTGATATAGTGAGACTCTGTATTGCTATACAGAGCGATGTAATCCCAGCACTTGAGGAGACCAAGGTGGGTGGATCCCTTGAGCCCAGGAGTTTGAGACCAGCCTGGGAAACAGGGAAAAACCCCTTCTTTACAAAACATACAAAAATTAGCCAGGCATGGTGGCATGCACCTGTAGTCCCAGCTACTCAGGAGGCTGAGGTGGGAGGATCACTTGAGCTCTGGAGGCAGAGGCTGCAGTGAGGCGAGGTCATGCCACTGCACTCCAGCTGGGGCAACAGAGCAAGACACTGTCTCAAAAAAAAAAAGAAAATGCTCTAGCATGAAAAGCAAAAAAAGGCCTTAAAATAGACAGGAACAGTATATGAAAGGACAAGCGGATCATCCATGATTGCACACCAAGTATTGCTGAGTGCTCTGTGCTTCTTATTGGTAGCACCGGGATGGAATGATGCGTTTGAACTGAGCTTTGTCTCTACAGGGCCTCCCTACAGCTGGAAATAGCAGTCATCTATTGGCTGCACTAACTCCCCTCCTCAACCTCTTCTGCTTGCTTAGACGTGTTCTCCAGACATCAGTTCCACTCACGAGCTTCCCATTAGTTGTGAACTTCCAGCAGAGACAATGGTGCCTCCCCCATGTTGCCCTGGAGGCTGACCTGACCAGGCTGGATTCATTCAAAGTTTAAGGCACTGGTCTCCCAATGCCATTTATTATATAAATCATCTTTCCCATGCTGATCTTAAATACCCTGAGAATCAGGGGTGCTCAGTGTAACATCATAATAGCAAAAAATTAGGGCCAAACACAAGTTCTATCAGTATTGCAGAATAAAGTGATACAGTTACAGAATGGTTTTTTAAAAACTCTTCTTATAGAATATTAGACCTTTGATATAGATATTTGTTTAAATACATGGATTCATAAGTATGGAGTTATCATTCAATCAATGGAAAGCCACCAGAGGGTTCTGCAGTCAGGAGAGCTTCAGGACACTTAATGCTAGTTGTGACGTGTGGGGAAGGAGCCCATTTGTTGCTTATGTGACTGTGTAGGTAGGTCTACGAGTGAAAAAATAGCCGAAAGACTCAACTGCACTTATTTTGAGATGAGATCACAGGGGCGTTTGCTTTCTGTATTACACATTTATATACAGTTGGAATTACTATAATGACCATTTGTTACTTTTGCAACCAGAAAAAAAAGGATCTTTAAAATCCAGACCATTAATTAATATCCCAACATGATAATACCCTCTAACTCTGCTAATGCCACATGTCAGCACATAATAGCCAGGGGCATGTTTGACCCAGCCTCTCAGTCCCACCTTCCAGGGCCAGGTCGGGAGAATAAGATGAACGTTTATCTGACTGAGAATGGGCCAGTGAGGGCCTTGCCCACAGCCCCATCATCCAGTGTCACTGCTGCACGTCCATCCGTCTCCACTGTAGTCTCACTTATGTATGTGTACAACAAAGAGACCGATGCTGGTACTCCCAAAATGTGTTTTGTGGTTGCCCTGCAGGGTGCTGCCTCCATGACCCACACATGATGGGCAGCTGGCATAAAGAGCCACAGGCTTGGCCTGTGACAGCCTCCATCTCCAGAAGGGCCTGGATGCAGCCAGCAGTTGCCACTCTATCAGCATATAGTGTGGGGCTGAGGAAAACAGCTTTTGGGGTTTTATGATTTTTTGTACCAAAAGTCCATGGCCATCATGGGTGGTCCAGAGATGCCAGGAGGCGTGAGAGGAGGTTGCCAAAGCCTCCACAGTGAATGAGACTGAGGAGGGCACTAATGCCTGCTGTATTGCAGTTTGACAGATTCTAGAATCTTTTGTTAGAAGGAACCCCATTGAAAGTGGGTCTGTTTGCAAGTAACAGCATAAATGGGCTTACCTAAAATCTATAAATGAGGGATGTGTTTCCCATGGAACTCGAGAGGACTAAAGGATGCTGGGAGGCTTATTAGAACACTGTGGGTACTTAGAGGGTCAATAATTATTTTTTGACAGTGTCAGGGATGGAGCATCCCTCGACTGACCAGATAATGGCCAGAAATTGGTGGTGGATCCCTGTACTATGCCTGGGGCAGTGGCCCATACTTTCTTGTTTTAGTTGAGTCCCACATCCATGCGGAAACACAAACCCCATCCTTTTCTGTGAGCTCCTTGTGAGTAATGTCCTGAGTGTGTCACGTGAATGTGCTGAGAGAAGGGTGTCTTCAGGGTGATGTTACACCTGTGCTCCTAGAGAAGGTCAGATGCAGTTCAAATCCTGCTTGCAGATTGTGTACGGTGACAGAACTGTCAAGGTACCCCGTGGTAGCCAGATAATGGTCTGTTGTGTCCCTTCGGGGCTGAAAGCAACCTGCAGCTGAGATGCTGTTGAAATACGCACTGAGCAGAACACATTAGTCAAATCTATGCCTGCAGAGTATTTACCACTTGCTAAGTGGATGGAGTCAGTACTTTCAATAACATTGGGCCTTCACAGATGGGGTCACAGCATTCAGGTTGTAGTAATTCACCGTGAGGCATCATTCATTCTTTCCAAGCTTAAGAACAGACCAAATTGGGCTGTGAAATGGAGAAACCGTGGGGATAATCATCCCTTCTCTAAATAGATCTTCCATAATGAGTTTCCGTCCTTGAAAGCCGTGTTTTAATTCATATTGATCGGTATTAAATATTTTAACAGAGAAGGTCCATGGAGTTCCATGTTGTAAAGCCAATTGTAAGTGCCAAAGATAACTTAATTTTGATTATTTTAATTTGTTATTTACTGGGTCACAGCATCCGTGCCCACTATGGAACATTTTAGGGCCATGTTATGTTACAACCCTAGGCAGTTAGGCAAGGCACCAGGAAAAACAGTTCCCATACTCCTGCACCTAAATGCCAGTTATCATCATTTCTTACTTTGGTCAGTTAGATCTATTAACAGAGGCTTGGTGGGGCTCAGCAAATGCAGCCCAGAGTGGCCCAGCTCAAAGCACACGCTTGCCAGCAGGCGGCAGCACAGCTCAAAACACGGCAGAACCCGTTAGCAAGCCACAGCCAGAGAAGAAAAGCCCTAGTGGCGGTGGTCACCACCCAGACTCCCTGCGTGTTGTGCCATTTGTCTTGCAGTTTCCCCCAGGGAGGTGGCATCAGCTCCCCCCACCAGAAATTGGGTTTGGATATCCACTGTGGCACACACAAAATGATGTGTTCTAGAACTCCACAGGGTCAGCATTCCTGGGTCATCAGTGGTAGTGGCAGCTGGTCCTAGCGGTGCCGTGGTCCTAGCGGTGCCCACATTGTCTACCCTTGCAGTGGAAAAACTTGGATGAACGCGAGGTGTGCCGTAAAGGGGGATAACTTCTCTGCTGCGGTACTTGTCCACGAGTCTTCCGTGAAGACTGTCACATCCCCCCTGTGGAAGCCAAGAGGTGAGTGGGATGCAGCCCCGCCTCAGGCACACAGCACTCACCTCTGGATGGAAAGGGCAGCACCTGTGAGCACTGCGGACAAAGGTGTGATGCAGAGCAGTCTGGTGCCAGAGACTCTGGGCCTCTCTGGGTCTCTGAGGCTGCCAGCGAGCCTCTTGGCCCCACACTGCTTCTGCCCCTGGAGGTGCCCTTTCCTAGGATGTTATTCCTTGGACAGCAGGGACTCCTGTCCAAGGGGAGTTGGGGACGGGAAAAGCCAGCTTATGTTCTGTGCCTGCTCAGAAAAGACAGGAAGCACGGCTTGTCACACATTTCACCATGGTCTCATCAGGCTGATGGAGGCCTGAGGTCCCTGCAGGTGAAAGCCCGGATTCTGACACTCAAGCCTGGCAGCCTGGGTTCCTTTGTGCTCCCAGCAGCTCAGACAGGGAAAAGAGCCCACGCTGACAGTGACACCACCTTCCTCAGGCTGCCCACCTGCCGCCACCACCGATGCGAGGGAAGGGTCAATGCTGGAGACCCCACGTGGGGATCTTGGACACTCTGGGAGGTATCCCACCCTCATGGCTGAGCCCATCCTTCCTGAGGGAAGACAGTGACAGCCACAGGAACGGTGGCCATTTCCAGGGGCCTTGCCCTCTGTTCACCTTATGTCCAACCTCTCAGGACGCTGTGGAGTTGCACCTTCTGCAGGATGAAGAGGTCTTCAGGAAGCCAACAGTGTCATCATGTATCTAAGATCCTGGAGAGGCAGATGCAGCCTCAGGACCAGCTGGTAAGTTAGATGTCAACCCCAAGCCTACGCTTTTCCCTTCTCACATGAGAAGCACAAACAGGCACAGGGTCAGGGCATTGCACCAAAGGGAGGCTTCAATGTCTCCCTTTAGAGGATGACGATTTAATGCCCAAACACAGAGTCTGAACAAAATCCCACGCACCCCGTGAGCCTTGGTAAGCACGGTTGTAATGCTGACTGGGCTTGGCTGCCCCGTCCGTGTGCATGTCTAGACATTCACCTGGCTTCACTGTTTCCAAGCTGCATTTCACTTTCAAGCCCTCTTCACATTTTACAGGAATGTGAGTTCCTCCTCTTGAAGGCCTACTGTCATCCACAAAGCTCCTTTTTTACGGGCATTCCATTTAATGTAAGTCACATTTTACAGTTCTCTTGCATAAAACGCACTTTGAGAAATGTGGGGGCTGAGTCCGGCAGATGCTGCAGTTTGCTCAGGAAGCTGGAGAACGGGAGAGAAGGACAGCACGGCAGCAGTGGAGCAGGGTAGCGGGGATTTCGCTGCACACTCTGGAGAGGGACTACCTGGCTCAAACTCCACCCTAGCACTCACGGGCTATGGGATACCAGGCAAGTTGCTGCCCCTCCTGTGTATCTCAGTTTCATCTTCTCTTTAGGAGGAATGTCTTTCCTACTAGAGATTAAGAGTCACAGAGGCCAGCTGGGGGCAACTGCTCATGCCTGTAATCCCAGCACTTTGGGAGGCTGAGGCCAGCAGATCACTTGAGGTCAGGAGTTCAAGACCAGCCTGGCCAACATGGCAAAACCCCATCTCTACTAAAAATACAAAAATTAGCCAGGCGTGGTGGCGGGCACCTGTAATCCCAGCTACTCGGGAGGCTGAGGAAGGAGAATCACTTGAACCCGGGAGGCAGAGGTTGCAGTGAGCCAAGATGGCACCACTGCACTCCAGCCTGGGTGACAAAGCAAGACTCCATCTCAAAAAAAAAGAAGAGTCACAGATGCCAAACTGTGTGGGTTCCCATCCCAGCTCTGCCACTTTCTAGCAGAGACATCTTGGGTAGGCTCCTTGACCTCTCCATCCCTCGGTTTCCTCATCTGTGAAATGGGCATCATTATTTATGGTACCCATAAATGTGGAGATTACATATTCATATGCTTGGCCTTCAATTTAGTTTATCTAGTGCCTAGAACAATAGCTGGCCTACAGAAGTCAGATGGTGTTATCATTATGACCCTGGAAATGAAGACTTGGATTGTATTTAAACTGGATCCTTTCCAGTGATGACAGCTGCGCTGACCTCTCCTCTCTGGTGGCTTTGTCCTGATTCGCGACTACGGTGAGCCCTTTCAGGAAGCAATGCGGTTGGACCTGGTTAAGGAGAGGCTGAATACGGAAGTGTACACGGTGGCATAGTTTGTGCGGGACATGAGCCTGATCTTCCGCAACCATAAAACATTTCACAAGGTAAAGGGCATGTCCTGCTTCCTTTTTGCATCTTTTCTACTTTCCCCTAATTTCTGGGACAGCAGAATTTTGCAAGGATTACCCTCAGTTTCATCCTGGGGAGAGCTCAAACGAGATAAGGATTACAGAAAAAAAAACCACCTCAGCATTCCTGGAGGCAAGGAGTGAGTGGCAAAAAGAACAGCAAGCAGGACAGGGGAGGGATCTCCGGAACAGGAGCTGAAAAAACAAAGGCTCTGTTCCCAGATCGGCAGCTCGCTCCCAACGCGAGCAGTAAATGGCATCCAGCTTCTTTGTTCAAACTGGAAGGAAGGGCAGTTTATGCCTACATTGTTCTTCCTGCCTCAGAAATATGAAAACAAATAAGTAAACAAAATAAAATCAGTTAAACTTCCTGGAGACTCATGCTTGCATTTTTTTACACATACTTTTCTCACTGGACTGAAACATCTGGAATTGCCTTCAGATACAGTGTTGGTTTCATCCTCCTTTACTAGGGAGGGACCAGCTAGTTGAGCTATCCTGCAATCCCAACATTTGTAACTTTGGTTTGTCCTGATTTTTATCCTCACTTGTGCAGATATTTCTTGGGAGGTACCTAAGGAAGATTTTCATCTCCACCCAGCTTCCTTCGCTTCTTCCATGCCAGGAGTTGGCATGTTCACAAACCACAAACTGTGAACGGGCACCCACTCATGGAGCTGCAGGGAGAAAGCGTTGACCAGAGAGCCACTCAGTGTCTGGCGTATCCTTAGCCCTGGAGAACAGAGGGTCATCCTTCATCAGTGAGTGGGCTTTCAAGAAATGCATTTAAAAACATTTTTTAAGCTATTTTGCACCAAGCTCAGATTTGCCATGATCAAAACTAAACCTTCAGTGCGAATCACCTGTCAGGTGGAAGTTAACAACCAGGTGGAGTCTCATGCTTTTCAACATTTTAGTAGCAGCATCTCCTCACCCATTCTGCCTCACCGCTGGGCCTCCTAAAAAAATATGAGTGAGACTGGGAGCAGTGACTCACATCTGCAATCCCAGCTTTTGGGGAGTCCGAGGTGAGGGAATCACCTGAAGCCAGGAGTTTGAGACCAGCCTGAGCAACATAGCAAGACCTCCTCACCCCGATCTCTGAGAAAAAAAAAAAAGTTTTAAAAATCTGGGCATACAGCTACTCGGGAGGCTGAGGCAGGAGAATGGCATAAACCCGGAAGGCAGAGCTTGCAGCGAGCTGAGATCCGGCCACTGCACTCCAGCCTGGGCGACAGAGCGAGACTCCATCTCAAAAAAAAAATTAAAATCTGGGCATAGTGGCATGTGCCTGTAGTTTCAGCTACTCAGGAGGCTGAGGTGGGAGGATCGCTTGCGCCCAGAAATTGAAGGCTGCAGTGAGCTATGATGGTGCCACCGCACCACAGCCTGGGTGACAGGGAAAGACCCTGACTCAAAAACAAAAAACAAAAAAATGTATGAGTGATCTGATGGCTGTAATCTTTCGTCCTTCAACGTGTTTGTTTGCTTTTTTCTCTTTCAGGCTTCTGACTTTGGCAAGGCAGGACTTGACTTAGAGGCAGAATTTGAAAAAGATCTCAAAGACGTGCTTGGTTTTCACGAAGCCAGTGAACGTGGTTTCTGGACTCTTCCTTTACCCTGTTCTGAAAAGACTGAAGCATCGCAACCTCAGGATTCAGCTGATGGGACCCTGGCTTGGACTGTTAATTGCCCATGAGTCTGGGATGTAATTGGCTGCCCTCAGGACCCAAACCCAGACCCTTCATAGGATTATCACACCCTCCACCACCTTTATTCTTTCATTTTACCTTTAAAAGGCTATATTCACACTAAAAAAACAAAATTAGTACTTCCTTCATACCATCAGATACCCCATCATAGTTCTCATAGTTCACATTCTCTCCACTGTCTCAGAAGTCTTTTTAGAGTTGATTTGTTCAAATCAGGATCTAAACAAGTTGCACACATTGCATTTGGCTCACCTGTCCCTATGTCTCTTTTAAGCTATAAATTGTCATGTATTTATTGAAGAACTCAGGGTTTTGGTCCTATTACATTTTTTGCAATCTGGAATTTTCTGGTTGCATTTTCTTAGTGGTATAGTCCTCTCTTCCTCTCATTTTTTGTAAGCTAGAAGTTAGATCTAGAAGCTTGCTTTAACTCAAGTTTTGAGGGGTTTGTTTTGATTTGGGGTTTTTTGGGCACACGCAGGCTTCGCAGGGGGAATTTAGTATTATTTTTTATGTTAAGCTTGGCAGCAGGTGCAGGTGTTGTCAGCCTGATCATCTGTCACCTGACGGTTTTAGCAATACCTAAATCCGTGATATCATCAGGGGTTGCAAAATGATGAGATTCAGATTTTATTTTTTTACACCATTATTGGTCAGATTTCTTCTGCAAATAGCTTCTCTTTAACAATATTCAGTTACCTTGATATACAGGTTGTACAAAAAATAGGATAAATGCTTGCTTTTTATTTAGCAATGTTCAAAATAACGAATTGATTTCCTAATATCCTCTAAAGGTAACCAGGGATTTTTTTATTGAATTATCTTGAACCCACATATTTAAATATATGTAGTATGCTACAAACCTTTGCAGTTGCCCACTTTTGTTTGTGTGTTTTTGGAGACAGGGTCTCACTCTGTCACCTAGGCTGGAATGCAGTGGCGCCATCTTGGCTCACTGCAACCTCCTCCTCCTGGGTGCAAGTGATTCTCCTGCCTCAGCCTCCGAGTAGCTGGGATTACAGGCCTGTGCAAGTTCCCCACTTTTAGTGAGAATATCCTCAGTTTGCCTCCTGAGTTGTTTTGAAATGACCCCAGCACTCTTCGATGGTGTATTAGCTATCATTACTGTGTAACAAATGACCTCAAAGCTTAGCTGCTTGAAAAGAAAAAAAAAAACATTTTATTGCTCACTATTCTGTGGGTCAGGAATTCAGGCATCATCCATGAGGATGCTTACCGTTGCTCCACATGGCCTGGCAGACCCCATTCATACTTGCACACTGTCACTTCTGCCACAATCTATTGGTGAAAGCAAGTCACAGGGCCAGATTCAGAAGGAGGGAGAATAGACCCTACCTCTTGATGCAGTGAGTGACAAAGGCACATTTCAAAGGAGAATGTTGCTTGGGAAGAAACATTGCTGCTCCCATCTTTAGAAGCAATCTACTGTAGTTCACCCTCTAGCCAAGTAGTTCCCATCTTTCCTATATGCAAAGGACACTCCTCTCCCCTCAGAAGTCTCACTCTCTGCAGCACTGGAACAAAGTCCAGGACCTCCTTATCTAAATCAGGTTCAGATCAGATAAGCCTTCTTGGGACTGGGCACAGTGGCCCACACCTGAAATCCCAGCACTTTAGGAGGCCGAGGCAGGTGGATCGCTTGAGTCCAAGAGTTCAAGACCAGCCTGGGCAACATGGCAAAACCTCATCTCTACAAAAAAAAAATTTTTTTTAATTAGCTGGGCATGGTGGCACACACCTCTAGTCCCAGCTACTCATGAGGCTGAGGTGGAAGGATGAGCCTGGTAGGCAGAGGTCGCAGTAAACCAAGAATGCACCACTGCACTCTAGCCTGGGCAACAGAGACCCTGCCAAAAAAAAAGAAAAGAAAAGAAAAAGAGGAGGGGAGAGGAGAAGTAAAAAGGAAGCAGAGTGGAGGGGAGAGGAGGGGAGGGGAGGGGAGGGAAGGGAAGGGAAGGGAAGGGAAGGGAAGGGAAGGAGAAAATGAAAGAAAAAGGCTCCTCAAGTATGGTTCATTGGGTGCAGCTCCTTGGGTGCACCTCCTCTTAAACTACAGTCCAGTGAGCTGAAAAATTGTTTCTCCCCTGCTGCCAACATTCAGTGATGAAACAGGGACAGAATAACCACTAAAGATACTTCCATTCAAACAGGGAAGAAGGAAGCAGCAGTCACTCATTTATAGCAATTCTGAAATCCAGTCAAGCACATGGTGCTAGTTCTCCCTAATCCCAGGGCAGGAAATTTTCCCAGACACATGATTTATATGTATCATACACCTCTAATTCCCATCCAATCCCACAGGCTTCTTCCTTGTCTTCCTCGGGTCTACATTGGTGTCTCTCTTCTCCAACAGTATTACTCACTTGCTGAATCCCCAGGTACAACAATATAATTTAACAGAATTTCAATACTCAGACCACTATGAAAAACAAACTAAACTGATTTCAAAATTTCTGCAGGGTTTATTTTTGTTTGTTATAGATTTCATATGCCATTGCAGAGGGTATTTAAGATACCATTGCAGAGGATTTGGCACTTGTATTTATACACGAGATTGGTCTATAGTTTTTACAGACTGTCAAAGTCAGATTTATGGTTATCCTACCTCGGTAAAAAAACTTGTAAAATTTTCTACCTTTTAAGATGTTCTCGAATAATTTATAGTGTTTTAAATTAACCAAAAGGATGTGACCCAGAGTTCACTAGGGAGATAGTGTTGGCCACATTATATGCTTTTTTTATGCATATACTCTGTTGGTTTTTGAGACAGTTCTGCTTTTATGTTTTTCTAAGAAGTCATCTATTTCATTTGTGGTTAAAAGTTAATACAGGTGGTCAGCCAGGCGCAGTGGCTCAGGCCTGTAATCCCAGCACTTTGGGAGGCCGAGGTGAGTAGATCACGAGTCAAGAGATCAAGAGCAGCCTGACCAACATGGTGAAACCCCATCTCAAATAAACACAAAAACTAGCCAGACGTGGTGGTGTGTGCCTGTAATCCCAGCTACTCAGGAGACTGAGGCAGGAGAATCGCTAGAACCTGGGAGGCGGAGGTTGCAGTGAGCTGAGATCGCACAACTGCACTCCAACCTGGGTGATAGAGTAAGACTCTGTTTCAAAAAAAAAAAGAAAAAAGTAATATAGGTGGTCTCATTTCTATCATATTTTGATATTTCTCTTTTTAATGTTTTAATGTTATTTTTGTCTATTTTTTTTTTTTTTTGCTTCTGCCTTCTATTTTGGAAGGCATCATAACGGTTTTTAGTTCCCATATTTACCCATAAGTTTTCCTAATGCACTTCGACTTACTTTTTTAATGTCAAAGTCAAAATATCTGTAATATGCTGGGAAAACTGGCTAGCCATATGTAGAAAGCTGAAACTGGATCCCTTTCTTACACCTTATACAAAAATTAATTCAAGATGGATTAGAGACTTAAATGTTAGACCTAAAACCATAAAAATCCTAGAAGAAAACCTAGGCAATACCATTTAGGACATAGGCATGGGCAAGGACTTCATGACTAAAACAACAAAAGCAATGGCAACAAAAGACAAAATTGACAAATGGGATCTAATTAAACTAAAGAGCTTCTGCACAGCAAAAGAAACTACCATCAGAGTGAACAGGCAACCTACAGAATGCGAGAAAATTTTTGCAATCTACTCATCTGACAAAGGGCTAATATCCAGAACCTACAAAGAACTCAAACAAATTTACAAGAAAAAAACAGCCCCATCAAAAAGTAGGCGAAGGATATGAACAGACACTTCTCAAAAGAAGACATTTATACAGCCAACAGACACAGGAAAAAATGCTCATCATCACTGACCATCACAGAAATACAAATCAAAACCACAATGAGATACCATCTCACACTAGTTAGAATGGCAATCATTAAAAAGTCAGGAAACAACAGATGCTGGAGAGGATGTGGAGAAACAGGAACACTTTTACACTGTTGGTGGGACTGTAAACTAGTTCAACCATTGTGGAAGACAGTGTGGCGATTCCTCAAGGATCTAGAACTAGAAATACCATTTGACCCAGCCATCCCATTACTGGGGATATACCCAAAGGATTATAAATCATGCTGCTATAAAGACACATGCACATGTATGTTTATTGCGGCACTATTCACAATAGCAAAGACTTGGAACCAACACAAATATCCATCAATGATAGACTGGATTAAGAAAATGTGGCACATATACACCATGGAATACTATGCAGCCATAAAAAAGGATGAGTCCATGTCCTTTGTAGGGACATGGATGCAGCTGGAAACCATCATTCTGAGCAAACTATCGCAAGAAAAGAAAACCAAACACCGCATGTTCTCACTCATAGGTGGGAATTGAACAATTAGAACACTTGAACACAGGAAGGGGAACATCACACACTGGGGCCTGTTGTGGGGTGGGGGGAGCGGGGAGGGATAGCATTAGGAGATATACCTAATGTAAATGACGAGTTAATGGGTGCAGCACACCAACATGGCACATGTATACATATGTAACAAACCTGCACATTGTGCACATGTACCCTAGAACTTAAAGTATAATAATAATAAAAAAAGGAATATGGGTGGTCTTATTTCTATCATAATTTGATATTTCTCTTTTTAATGTTTTAATATTATTTTTGTCTCTTTTTTTTTTTGGCTTCTGCCTTCTATTTTGGAAGGCATCATAACAGTTTTTAGTTCCAATATTTACCCACAAGTTTTCCCAGTGCATTTTGACTTGTTTTTTAAACGTCAAAGTCAAAATATCTGTAATGTGCCACATTCTTAAGGCAATGCGTTTATCACTTCGATACCTCTCAGCTCCCTTATTCCTGCTTTTCACTTTCTTGAAACATAGACATGCATTAGTATTAATTTTTTTGCTTTTACTCTATAAATTATGTTTATTCTATTCAATTATATTATGTCATTATTAGTTTCACATTATGTAAATTATTTGTCCTGTCATATGTCATATAAAGTAATTCTAAAGCAAAAATTAAAAGTGTGTGTTACATGATAACCTGTATTTATGAGAACAATATTAACGTGTTTCTGTTTTCGCTGTTTTAAGATTCCCTGCTGATCTTTTCTTGTCACGACTTCTCCATACTTCCTTTTTGCTCCACCTTTCAGTCAACTGAAGTATATCTTTAAGTAATTTGAAAAGAATTACATGGATGGTATGTTTTCTGATTCACCATATCTTAGAATGTGTTCTATTGTTTTCATAAATTAATAACATAATATATATCTCATCACAACTTCTCACCTTCAAAATTGATTTAAACTTTGTTCCACTGTCTTTGGGGATTTTATTCTACAACTCTGAAATCTAAGTCCAGCCAGAATTCTGCCTCTTCATCAGTGTGTGGAAGCCAGTGATATTTCCCCTGTTATCCCAATAGTTCTATATTTAGTTATTTTTGCCAGGATAGGTTTCAAATA